TCTCGCAATGCGCCAGTGTTGTAACAGTTGCGGGAGAAATGTACATTTTTTCCCGCGCGTGGTGTGTGCGGCAGCAAGAACCTGTGCAAGATGCCCTGCGTTCGGTCTGCGGAAAAAATCGTCAACGGTTCCGTGTCAAGAAGGCCTTTTGTTTGCTTTGAAAAAGCTTATTTGTGCTTTTTCCACAAACGTATGCAGCTAGGTATCCTGTCTCGCAACGCGGCAGTGTTGTAACAGTTGCGGGAGAAATGAGCATTTTTCCCGGGCGTGGTGTGTGCGGCAGCAGGATCCTGTGCAAGAGGCCCTGCGTTCGGTCTGCGGAAAAACTCGTCAACGGTTCCGTGTAAAGAAGGCCTTTTGTTTCCTTTGTAAAAGCTCATTTTTTTTAGAAACGTATGCAGCTAGGTCGGATCAGCAGCTAGGTATCCTGTTTCGCAACGCGGCAGTGTTGTAACAGTTGCAGGAGAAATGTGCATTTTTCCCGCGCGTGGTGTGTGCGGCAGCAAGATCCTGTGCAAGAGGCCCTGCGTTCGGTCTGCGGAAAGAATCGTCAACGGTTCCGTGTAAAGAAGGCTTTTTGTTTCTTTTGTAAACGCTCATTTGTGCTTTTTCCACAATCGTATGCAGCTAGGTATCCTGTCTCGCAATGCGGCAGTGTTGTAACAGTTGCGGGAGAAATCAGCATTTTTCCCGCGCGTCTGCGGCAGCAAGATCCTGTGCAAGAGGCCCTGCGTTCGGTCTGCGTAAAAACTCGTCATCGGTTCCGTTTAAAGAAGTCTTTTTGTTTCCTTTGTAGAAGCTCATTTGTGCTTTTTCCACAAGCGTATGCAGCTAGGTATATATGCTGTCCTGGAATGCGGCAGTGTTGTAACAGTTGCGGGAGAAATGTGCATTTTTCCCGCGCGTGGTGTGTGCGGCAACAAAATCCTGTGCAAGAGGCCCTGCGTCAGGTCTGCGGATAAAATCGCCAAAAGTTCCGTTGCGGCAACAAGATTCTGTGCAGCAGGCCCTTCGTTTCGTGTGCGGGAACAAAATCGCCAGCGGTTCCGTGTAAAGAAGACTTTTTTTTGGTCTGTAAAAGCTCATTGTGCTTTTTCCACAAACATATGCAACCAAGTATCCTGTCTCGCACTGCGGCAATGTTGTAACAGTTGCGACTGTTGCGGGAGAAATGTGATTTTTTTCCGCGCGTGGTGGCAGCAAGATCCTGTGCAGGAGGCTCTTCGTTCGGTCTGCGGATAAAATCGCCAACGGTTCCGTTGCGGCAGCAAGATCCTGTGCAGCAGGCCCTTCGTTTCGTCTGCGCGAACAATCGCCAAGGGTTCCGTGTAAAGAAGGGTTTTTGTTTGCTTTGTATATAAATGCTCATTTGTGCTTTTTCCACAGACGTATGCAGCCAGGTATCTCGTCTCGCAACACGGCAATGTTGTAACAGTTGCGGGAGACACGTGCTTTCTTTCGCGCGTCGTGTGTGCGGCAGCAAGATCCTCTGCAGGAGGCCCTTGTGCAGGAGGTTCTTCACTCGGTCTGCGGAACAATCGTCAATGCTTCCGTGTACAGAGAGCTTGTTCTTTGCCTTATAAGCCAACAAATCCCTTCCTGCTTCTTTTGCCAAATATTCGCGGCAAAGTTCCCACTTTTTCCCGTGCGACAGCCAGCCGAACCGAATACTAAGCTCATTTGCGTTTTTCCACAAGAGTCTGAAGCAAAGGCCGCAATGCGGCAATGTTGTAGCAGTTGCGGGAAAGTTGTACATTGTTTCCGTGCGTGGTTTGTGCAGCAGCAAGATCCTGTGCAGGAGGAGGCCCTTCGTTCGTTTTGCGAAAAAAATCGTCAACAGTTCCATGTACACAGAGAGCTTGTTATTTGCCTTGTAAGCAGACAAATCCCTTCCTGCTTTTTTTGGCCAAATAGTCGCGGCAAAGTTCCGCAGCAAGATCCTGTGCAGTAGGCCCGTCGTTCGGTCTGCGGAAACAATCGTCAACGGTTCCGTGGAAGGAGGTCTGTTTTTGTGTGCTTTGTAAGCCGACAAGTCCCTTCCTGTTGTTTTTTGCCAAATATTGGCGGCAAAGTTCCCACTTTTTTCCCGAGCCGAATACGAGGCTGATTTGTGCTTTTTCCACAAACGTCTGCAGCACGGCCAGGTATCCTGTCTTGCAACGCGGCAATGTTGTAACAATTGCGGGAAAAGTATGTGTTTTTCCCGTGCGTGGTTTGTGCGGCAGCAAGATCCTGTGCAGGAGGCCCTTCGTTCTGCCGAATGCTTAAACATTTTTCGCAGCATCTGCTGGCGAAGCCAGATTGGGTTCCAACGCATTCCATCTTGAACCGGTATGATTCGATGCATTCTGTTTGGGGTCTTCGCTGGTGTAATTGGGGAATTATTTTTGTTTTTGTCCTTGCTACTGGTACTACTACTACCCTAAACCCTAAACCCTAAACCCCAAAACCCTGAACCCTAAACCCTAAACCCTAATCCCTAAACCCTAAACCCTAATCCCTAAACCCTAGTCCCTAAACCCTATTCCCTAAACCCTAAACCCTAAACCCTAAACCCTAAACCCTAAACCCTAAACCCTAAACCCTAAACCCTAAACCCTGAACCCTGAACCCTGAACCCTAAACCCTAACCCTAAACCCTAAACCCTCAACCCTCAACCCTAAACCCTAAACCCTAAACCCTCTTAAACCCCTAAACCCTAAACCCTAAACCCTAAACCCAAAAACAAAAAATCAAAAAAAAAATCCTAATCTAATTCTCCGGCCCTGGCGATATGCTGCGCGATGCTAGGGAACGCGGCAGTGTCGGTTCAGCCTTACCCTCCTGCCATGCATTGGAAACACATTAGATCACTAGCACTAGGCGAGTTTTTTTGAGGGTGTTGAGGAGTCCAAGCAAGATCGCAGAACGGCTCCAGCCTGGAGGCCTTGGATCAGCTGCATGACCTCGCCGAGCAGTTTGGCGCGCAAGGCTAAGACCAGATGGGCAAAGCGCCTGGAGAAATTCGCAGTTTGCAGTTGCAGGCCTTGAGTGGAATAGCCTGGTATGCCATGATGAGAAGGCTTGGCAACAACTCATGCCAGTCTTGAAGCAGCACTGTCAATGCTGAGTATGTTGCATCGAGCCGACGTACTCAGCAGGACGTCAGCCTGGCGAGTGCGGTCGCAAAGTTTCCTTGCGCCAGCCTTAGTTGTGCGAAATAAAGCTATGCGTCGCCTGCAGGAGATCTTCTCTCAGAGCCTTCAGCGTGCAACTTTTTCTCGATGGATAAAGTCCGAGTGTGTGTGTGTGTGTGTCTCTCTCTCTCTCTCTCAAGCACGAAATCATCCACAGTCCCAGCCTTTGCCACTGTAAAGGCAAACTGTGCTGGGACGGCTGGAGCCTTCGCAACACGGGACGTGCCAGACTGAAGCTTGCAGCTTCTCCTAGGAAGAGGACCAAGAAAGAACAGCCACAAAAAACCGCCGAACGATTCGATCAGAACCCCTCAAAGTCGAGGAACCCACTTCCCCCACGCCCCGCTCTCCTTCCAAGAAGGTTTTGGCATACCTAACTCGCATATCCCTAAATTATCCTAAATTTATACATGTGTGCTGCGCTGCACTGATTTTCATTTGGTGGGCACAAATCAGCCAACTGCGTCCAGTTGCGTTTTTATGCTTACGCTTTCTGGCGGTGTTTGGCACACTCAATCTTTCAACGCAAAGTGCCAGCTGTAGCTGCTTCGTTTTGGGAGGAAGTCTGGAAATACGTCGATCCGGTCAGGAGAGAGAAATGTGAGCATCGCCTTCAGCCTTCAGCTATGTCGTGGCAGGGGTTTGCAATGGGCACGGGACGAGGGGAAACCGGGATGTGGGAGGTTGGCGGCGAAGGTTCCAATTCCAATCGACTACCTGAGGGTTTCTTGTGATTCAATTAAGTTACGTGAATGCCGCTGCCCAGAAACAATCGCTCAGAAGCATGAGAGAGATATGAATCCTTGCAAGTGAGTGCACCTTGTCGTCGGTATCGCGTCGCAGGGCACTCCAATGTCTACAATCACAAAATGTGTATGTCCAGGTATCCATCATGTGCGAGGATGTCCACAATTGGGTGTCGATACCTTGCATGTAGTAGTGCTTCATGTTTTGCATCTACCGCAACAACTCTTACCTTGAGATCATTTCAGGCGGGCGCCAGGAAGCTGTGTCGAAGATGTTTGCTCCTAGCAGAGTCCACCATACCACGTGGACACAAACAGGATGTCCAGTTGATGAGTGGAGCCGGTCGGAGCCGGTCAGGCCGGTCAGATGAGAGCGGACATCCGGCTTCAAGAAAAAGCCGCAAAGCCTAGGAGCTATGACGCCGCCGAGCTCAAAGCTGTGATCTCTCTAGGGCTTTGGGGGGTGGCGGGGGTTAAAGACGTGGAGACTTTGTAGAAAGAAGTGGAGACTCATTGAGATTGAGCATCATGCTTGAGATTCTAGGATACTCTCGGGCATTGCAACCTCTCGTTCAAACAAAGTATGCCAGCTTGCGTTGTGTTGGGGTCTTGTGCCATGCTCATGGACGAACTTGAGCACTGGTACGACTCGGCGTGACACAAGATGGGATGCATACTTCATGTTGGTATTCTGAAGTAATCCGCCAACCCCTGGCGGCGTCAGTGAAAACTCACCCCTGCAGTCCACTACCTCCATTGCCCCCACCGCCCTCGCTGCCCTACTCTGAGTGCTTGCCCCGCTTCAGTGTGGTTGCTCTGCCATACCCCTGCGACAGCTACATCTGCACTGCAACAACTGCTCCTTAACACGGCACCCTCGTGCCCCCCCACACCCCCGCACCACACCCACACACAACCCCACTCACCCACACCCGCGCAACCACGCACGCACCCACGCACCCACCCACGCTGATCAGTGAGAGGGTCCATACTTCCATACTTCTCTTTGCAGTCCTTCCCTCATGCCGCCAGGACGGAGATCGGCGGAGGCTCTGGTGCATCGCGACCTCGCACCCTCTAGCCGAGGCCCCGGCCATTCCGACCATGATGTTGCTTCACAGCATCACGAACAATCAGAGCCAAGCCCGGGTGACATGAGCAAACACGTAGCGCACAACACCAGAGGTGCGCCTCGGGGAGGAGAGGGGGGTGAAAGGGGAAGGGGAGGGAGGAGGTGGGGGGAGGGGCGGGGGGAAGACGAGGGGGAAAGGGGGAGCCAAAGCTCGGGCATTGCAAGCTCTGGTTCAAACAAGGTGTGCCAGCTTGTGTTGGGGGTCTTGTGCCATACTAGTGGACGAACCTGGTACGACTCGGCGCAACACAGGGATGCATACCATCTACACCCTGCGTGGCATCTGAAGATCTGGACTGTCTGGACGCCCGCACAAAGTGCAACCCAGCATTCTTTGCGGACACAACTCGGCCAGCACTTGTGGCTGGCAACGGCTTCGTCGGCATCTTTGGCAAGTCGCGTGGCGCCTCGGCAAAAGAAGAACAGGGCAGCAGGCATCAGCAGGCGGAAGGCAAAGGAACAGTCCCCCCTCCACCAAGGTCACCAAACCAGAGCCAGGCTCATGGCAGTGCTCATGGCAGTGCTGTAGCCACCAGAGCGTCCGGAGCTTTCTGCCTGAGACGTCCCGCAGGACACCCCTCCAGCAAAACTCCGTGCATACTCTTCTCATCTCTTGCGCTGCTGCCTCGCCCAAGCGCACGATGGCCTCACCAGATGGACAATGGCGCAGGCGGCGCTCCCTCGGTCAAGGCTCTGCAGCGCTTTCCAGCCTCGGGCAGGCCAAAGGGCAGCTTCGTCGCATAGGGCGCACCGGCATCAGCGCAGATGAGACCTCACGGCCATCCATCCTCTTGCATCAGTGTCCATCACACGTTCCCACACGTTCACAGGGGGGCCTATCAGTTCGAGCAGCACGCCCATTCCGCCCATGCGCTCCAGCGTCTCTGAGCCTCAGAGACGCGACTTGCACGAAGGACAAGCAGGCTCCAGGTTCCGCGCCGATTCCGCGCGTCCACTCTTCAAGGCAAGCGCCAAATCGCTCCGCGAGCCGCTTTTCGTCAACCCAGCTCTCAGCCTCCGAGCATTCAACAAACTGCCCCGTGGCAATGCCCTCCCAAAGCTTGGGGCATTGTGACATTGTGTTTGGTGCCCCCATGGGCCCCCATGTATCGGGGGGTTCGCGCCTCCTTTCCCTCGTAGTGGCAGCACGTCAGGACAGTCTCCTGCTCTGGAAACATCCGATGTTCCGCATCATGCTTCCATATCTGTTCCGTCTATATGTTTCCGCATCCTGCCCTACGTATCCAGAAAAAAGGAAACCCTTCTATCCGTCCGATCCCGTCCTCGTCCAAAAGCCACGCTGCTTTCAGGTTGGGGACTTGCTCCAGTTGCCCTGACTTTGCCGACAGCTCCTGGGATCCAATATGGGAGGTACCATGACCGCATGTGACTGCAATGGCGCTCTTCGGTACATGGGACAGAGAGATAGGCAGTGGGATTCGCATTCGCCCCTCAGGTCATGACCCAAGTTGGGGACGTGTCAGTGCAAGACCGCTGCTCGTAGATGCCTGCGCGCCGTCCCAACAAAAGTGCCCTTTGAAAGGCGATTTAGGCAGCTTGCGGGTGCGAACGAGGCTGCATGCGATTGCATGCGGCTAAGCTGGGTTTACGGTGGTGGAACATGCGCAGAAGACTTGCAAGACTTGGGCGACGATGGGCTACACATGGCTCATGGCTCATGGCTAGCAGTGGCGAAGACGCCTGCCTCGCATGCCGACAATCGAGAAGTCCAAGCTCAGACAGCGGACCTCCAGTTGCTGCATGATCTGGATGTCCAACAACGTCCTACTGCATCCTACTGCGTCCTGCTGCGTCCTACTGCGTCCTACTGCGCCCTCCTGCTGCAACGATGTAAGAATGTCATTACACGTTGCATTGACAGTGTTGCGCCTTCTCATGCTGGAACCTGCTGGATTGTATGCACGCTCACTGCGGATCACCGAGATAAATTCGCCCCTGCTCGGGTGCAAGTTTACAAAAAGCCCCAAATAGTGATTCAATGCGAGCACTCAGCTGTGTGCTCGTTTGTGCACGGAATGCCTAGAAGGCAAAACAAGCAAGGGCCGCTGCCGAAGACTCATACTTCACGTCGTACGAGTGCACCTTGCCGAGCAAAAGTGTCACAATCAGTCTTACTCTGGTGGTCCAACGGTCCAGCGACTGAGGCAATGCGCGTGCAACCGGTCAAAGATCTCGTTGATGATGCTGCACTGCCTGCCTTGCGCTCCCATGTTGAAACTCATTCTCCAACAACTAGCTTCGCGTAGCTTGGTGCGTCGCTGCACGTAGCTTCGCATGTGCATGGCCTTCACCAGATTGCCAGACCCCGAAACGTCGACGCACAATCCTAGGGGGCGCGTGTCAGGCCAGCAGTTGCATCAAATCCTCAGAGAGGACAACACAACCTCCTATGAGGGCGAGTCCTCTCCAATGTTGAATCACTTGCGAGGTGTCGCACATCGACGTCGTCCTCTGCGGCTTCGCCTGGGAATGAAGCGAAGGACCAGGGCTCACCCCTCAATCACGCCGTGCCAGGCCTTTGTCATCACTGTCATCGGCACTTTCATAGAGCTCGTCAGCTTCCAGGGATGAATACCTGCAGAGGGGAGAGCTGACTTCGAGATGTTGCTTTTACTGTTCATGTTGCAAATATCTGCACATGTTCCAAGACAAATCCAAGAGGCACAATCGGCCCCGCAGAGAATGAATCCATGAACTGTGCAGCTCAAACTCGGCAGCGGGGAGGCGAAATCATGAACGAAGTGAATGTGAAAAAACCCAAATTTGCCAGAGCTTGGGGCTTTTCCCGACTTCCATTGCCAAGTCTTTGGATCCTAAAATGTTGTATTAATCATCTGTGGGAGGAACCGTTACTGGGGCCTTTATTTCTTCCATGGGCTCTGTTGAAAACCTCACGTCCGGAAATATGTCCTACCAGCGAGGCGCTTCCAAAAAGGTTTCCTGAGCCCAGTCCACCTTTACACATCGGCGGGAGGTTTGGGAACTGCAAACTTCTAGTTTATGTGACAACCAACAAATGTCGTGAAGGCTTTTCTGGTTTGAGCATGCCTGAAACGTCATGATTCGAACCGCGACGCCACATTGCATAACCATCTTGCGCTTTTGGCCATATATAGTCCAGGTAACTAGCCATCTGCAGATGGTGCACAGGTTTTGTTGCCCTCAGCCCGTGTTTGCAAACAAACTGCCAGCATGTCATTGCATGAGGCATCGTCCTGCGTACCTGAGGTCTAGCATGTTTTGCTGGGATGGACGAGGCATCAGTGCGCGAGAGATTGGCAACAAATTCATCCTGAATGTGTGCAGCGTTCTTTCAATCAGCGTTCTCAAGCAACAGCCTCTGCAACATGACATAGAAGACGAGTCAACAGTTCTTGTGGGCGCATCCTCCATGTATCAGTCCTGGTCTGCACCTGTGAAGACCAATCCCTTGTAAAGAGCATGCCACTTCGCCTGCCGCCAGGGTCGAGCTAGTCCAACAAGCCAAAGTACTCAAACAATCCCGGCCGAGCCCGCCGTGATGTGATCTTGTGGCTCACCAACGCCCTGTGTGCTTGCAGCGCACACTCCACATCCTTTTCGTCTTTCTCGCACGATGAGCAAAGGTCAATCAGGAACTGCCCGACCAGCATCGTGCACTTCCGATGCGTGTAGGGGCCGATGTACCCGTCGCATCTTGACAGGCACTTGCAAGCTCTAAGCTTCTCAACATGTCCTCCATTCTCCAACATGTTCAGCAGGGAGGCGACACTGTGCAGGACCAACCGCGGTTCTACATGCTGAAAACGCTGGCAGGATGCCCTGAGTTCCAGCAGATCTGGCACATTGCAGAATTGCGACAGGGAATTCGTCATCCTTAGATACACAACATCTAATCCCACTTGCACCAAGCTATCCCCACCACCAAACACTGGCGCTAAAACTCCTCGCTTCAGAACACGGCATCACATTCACAAACTATCTCAGAGTCTTGGGTACAAACCTCCAAATCTCGCATCATGAATCACAACCGATTTGGAAAAAACTGCGAACCGTCTGCCCTCAGTTTGTCCTACAGCACGCAGTGCTCCATCCCAATCTCAATTTTATAGTTCGCGCACGATTTATACTGAAACCCTGGACCCTCGCCTCATGCTCCTGTCCCTCAACGCGAGACTCCTCACACCCCTACCTAACGCATAGGCAATCCAAATTTTCAACGACCTACCCTTATCCGGTTTCCTGTATCTAATCTTGCTGATGCTACCTTACAAAGGCCAAGGTTTAGCTTACGGCAGCGCACTTGCATGGCGACACGTGTCACACCCTCACAGTTGCTCCAAGCCACTCAGGGATGCCATTGAAAGGCCACTCAGAGATGTCATTGTCCAAAGATGCTGGTTGAAGATCCGTCACATCATCTGCGTCACCATCATCCGGAATTTCAGCCTGGCACGTGACGGCGAATCAAAGTGGTTTCAGCACACGTGTGCGGGCTCCTCACTTGCATTCACTGGCCTGGCACATCGTAAGCACGCTGGCCACAGTCTCCGCGAGGTGCACGAGCGGGCGAATATTCATGCCACAGACGCTGAAACTGTTGCCATCGTCGCTGTTGGCCTAGTTGATGATTCACAGCTGGGAGGGGAAGCTAGGAAGAACGCTAGAAGCAGTAACAACAAGCACGCACGTGCACCCTTCCGCTCTGGCCTGCTCGCTGCATGTGCCACGCTCGTCTTCAGAATGAGAAAGAAAAACCTGAAAGACTCAAATATCACCTTCGACCTTCAATGTCAAACTGAGGACCCCACATGAGAGGATGAGTCCTCCTGCCAGGGAGAGTTTCTCGAGGTTGGTGTTTCTTGTTTTTCAGACGTTTTACGGTTCAGTGACAGCAACACCCTCTCCAATTTACACACCCCTGTAATATCCCCAGAAGCCTCAGTTGTACAGTGAAGCTCCGAAACCGCTGTAGGCGCTTTGCACTTTCAAGGCTTACAAGCTGCAGGCCTCGGCAACAGTGTGGCCCCACCACAGCCCGCAAAGTCCTCAGCTGAAAAGTCCAACCAAACATGATGGTGACCCGCAGCCAAAAAACTAAGCCAAATACCTGCCCAGACATCCATGGCTCCAACGCCACTTTGCACGTGACAAGCTGTTGCTGCGCAGCGAATGTTTGATTGCATGCCTCTCATCTCTCTGGCTCGACACCACCTTCTAAAGATTGTGCTGCCTCTCCGTGCTGCATGTCATTTTAGCTGTCTCGCCCAATTTTGCTGCGCGCATTCCACGGTTGAGTGTGCGATTCCTGCAAGTGGCTCAAGGCAAGCGTCGCAAACACTACATTATGCAGAGGCGCTATTTTGTCTCGTTCTGGTCTGGCCGAGGGTGCTCTTGGTCCACCCTGGGGTTTCTGTAAGATGTAACGGTTCACACTGAAGGCTGCTTATGGCACTCGGACCACTTCAATCCGCAAATCCGCCACTCCTGCACACCAACTCCACTCTCCGGGCCAACACAGCGTCATGTAGCCCAGATGGCCCTGAATACCAAAGCATCTGAGCTGCAAATTTTTGCAGATCTTGAATTCCATGTCATTACGCGGCTATTCCCGCGCCTATTCCCATGTTTGCGCCGCCCTCACTCTTCTGGACTCATAAACCACAACACGAAGGTGAGCGACACCAAAGCAATCACAGCAAGGACCACTGCAAGCGCTAACAAGCGGGGGCGGTCCGTAGCACAGGTCATCATCTCAAATGTTCCCGTTTCCTGCATTTGCATGTGAAGGCGATTTTGGAACAAGGTCACGAACAACACCCAGACAACTCTGCATTGTACACGTGCCTTCTGCAACTTCTTCCATTCTGTCCTGCGTACCGATTGCAGATCTGAGTCGCCCAATTCAGCGCAGACAACCCGGGTTCCAAGGGCGAGGCCGAGCCATCCACGCCAGCACAGTGCTTGGCAAAGAACGGGTGGCCTCGAGGGGCTTGGACTCGCAGGACATCACTGACGTGCAGGACCAGCGCAGGATACGTGGCACTTGTATGGCATTGGCCGGCTCCGACTTTCTGCGGGCCGTGTCAGGCAAAAGTACTGTCTGGAGGGTAAACTGTCAAGATGTAGATACGCTCGGCAGTGCTTAAAAGCATAGTTGCATTTGGGGCCCAGACATAACCGAGGTGCATATTTTATCCGTCTGACGCCACTCTAGCGCTATCGCACGCGTGCAATGGGCAGAAAAGAGTAAGGCGATACGCCGTCTAAAGCCAAGCCATGGCAAGAAGTGTAATTAGAACAAAGCTGCACGCATCACGTCTGCTCAATCTACATGTTCGGCGTTGCATCTTACCTAACATTTTCTCACAATAACATTGGAGCGAGATCATGGGCCGCCGCCGTGTGTCCGAAAACCGCAGACTATGTTGCCAGCTGCACTCTCCCTACTCGCTCCGCCACTCAAGTCTCCACATACACACTGATTATATATCCACTTTGACTTGCCCACTCTCTGTTACTTCCCCACTCCTCTCAGTCATCCACTTCCCCAATTACAGCACTCAGTCCCTCCAGCATGCTAACTTGGAGGTCTACCTCGGTGCCTCAGAACAGGTGAATTTTACCACACCGGTTTGGACAAACATTTTGGACCATTGCAGTGAGAAAATGTTGGCTGCATAAACCAAAATCATGCTTTTTCTTGGTTTCCATCTCCACGTATGCGCACAATGGGCTCTGCTTGCAGGTGCTTGCCAGTTGTTGAGGCCTAATGCGTATGGATACTTGCAAGTGAGGGCTTACGAGAATTCAGAACAGTACGGTGTCAATCTCCTTGCTAGAAGCGGAAGCTGTGGATGCTGTGGATGTGTCCTTCTCTCGATGTGAGATGTCTTGTCAGACCGAGCTCAGACATTTCAAAGTAATGTCGGTAGCATTCACAAATTCAAGAGGGACCTTACACACATAAAGGACTGCAAGGCCGAAAGGGCCTCATGAGATTGGTGCCAACCCCCGCATGGAACTCGTCAAAATCCCACGGGTTCCCAGCTTTATTCGAGGTATTGAGAAACCCATATGATCTTTAGGACCGTGGCCCTGTTTTTGTGCGAAAGTTGCTGACCCCACACCACTTTCTAGGTAAAGCATGTACCTTGTACAGTTGTATAGAGGTGTCTTTACCGAAGCCCTTTATAGGCACAAGCAAGAGTGGGAGAAAATAGGTTTCCGCTCGTTTCGCATGGTAGCGGAGCTCCTGGTTCAAAAGCCAGTCGACCGGAGCTCGTGAACAACGGGTGATACCGTTAGCTGCGTGTGAAGCAGCAGCGGGTGACACCGCAGGCAGGGCGACAAAGCCTGCCGGACTCGAGGGAGTCTTGCCAAAACCCTCGTTAAAGAAGCAAGACAGAAGCGAACTGCGCCAGTAGCAGTCGCGAAGAAGGCACCACGGGAAAAGGTGGAGCAAAAGCAAAGGGGTCTGGAAAGACCAAGAAGGGTGTCAGAAAAGGGAGAGAAGCCGACGCACCTCGCAGTCGTCATCGTAGTGCAGAAGCAGAGGAGCGAAGGATCCTACGAGGCTTTGCCAGACGAGCAGAGCGAGCGCTGAACAGGTCGGAGTCCAGGGACAGGGAACCGCAAGAGGCTCCTGTGCCTGGAGACTTGTCTGCAGAGGACGCGCTCAGACTACAAGCCAGGCCCAGCGAAGGCAGCAACCTTGGGTTTGGTGAGTGGTTAGACGAGGACGCCTGGGTTCCTGAAGAGTTACCTCCCACCAGTGACAGCGGACAGTGGGAGCGCTTGAGGGCCCAGTACCCAGGGCTGGCTACAATCGCAGCGCAGAACCCTGGACGACAAGCTAGAAGGAGCTACTTGCAGAAGGTAGCTGGTCAGAGGGTGCAAGAAGGGCTTGGGCGGCTGGCAAGGACCAGCAGGCGCGGCACAGCAGCTTCCTCGGACGAGGCAGAGGCCAGCGAGGAGCGAGAAGAACCCAGCAGTGCTGCGCGGGTGATACCGCCTACAGAGGCGGGACACACCGAGCCAGCAAGAAGCGGGGCTTCAGTGGTTACGCTCACACACCAGCCAACATCGGTGTGGGACTCCGAAAGTGAAGGCGAGATCAAGCAGGAGGTCAAGAAAGAGGAGCAGTCCGGAAACACCTCGGATTGGGAAAGTGAAAGCTCAGAGGAGCACAGCACTGACCCGGAGGATCCGAACGGTGTGCAGTCTGCCTTGAAGAAGGCCGACAGGGCACGTGAAAGGCGGGAACAAGCAAAGCGGCACAAGCAGCCGCCGCCGGAGCCATCTGAGCCTCCGCGTGCCAAAGCCCGCCCATCGGTGGGGCACTCGAGTGCGGGGGCCGCCTCGAGCTGGGACCTCGAAAGTCGGGCCTCCTCTGTGGGCTGGCGACGGCAGGTGACGCCGAGCTTTGACAACAGAGTCACAGAGGAGGACACAGAGAACGAAGAGAGGAGTGACGAGCAGTGGAGCCGCCAAGATCGGGAGCGAGATCGGCTTTGGAACGAGTGGTACAGAGCGAGAGGAACGGGAGGCTGGCACCAGTGGCAAGGCTCTTGGTACCAGTCCTCAGGAGCGGGTTGGAACCGCTGAAGTGCGGGTGACACCGCCGAGTGTGAGGGAGCAGCTCAAGCAGGCTGCTGCCGAACTCGGCACCGCTTCTGTGTTCGTGAAGCCTGTACAGTTTGTGTGTGTTTGAGTTTTTTTTTGGTAGTTTCAATGGCAACTCTAGAAGAGTTAGCCCGTAGAGTGCAGGACCTAACACTTGGTATGCAACGAGCCAACGCTGCCTTTGAAGAGCAACAAAAGAAGACAGCAGAGGCCGAAGCTAGACTTGATGTAGCAGAACGAGCACTTCAAGCACAGTCAGCAGCAGCAGCAGCAGCAGGACAAGCCACAGGGAGCGCCGAAAGAAAAGAGAAAGAACTGATACACCCCAGTCATGTTCCAAAACCGCACACGTTTAACGGCAAGAAAGAAGAATGGGAAAAGTTCAAACATGTTTTCATGGCATGGTCAAGCACAGTGCATGAGCGTTACCCAGAGTTGTTGGAAAAGCATGGAGCCAGTAAGAACCCGATTGATGAAGCCAAATTTAGCCCCGAAGAAAGTAGACTGTCGAAAGCCATGTACACGTTTCTGATACAGTACTGTCCCGAGCCAACGATGAACGTCATAGGACAAGGGTTGCGTGATGCCAACGGTTTTGAGGTTTGGAGAAGATTGGTGCTTCTGAGCGAGCCAGCGCATCGGACTAAGGCCTGGGTGTGGCGCAGGCACTTAGCAAATCCCTCGTTTCCGAGTGACATTGCACAGTGGAGCACAGCGCTTCACCAGTGGGAAGCTGAACTTCGAGAGTTTGAGCGTACGTACAACACAGCGTTTTCAGAAGATGAGAAAGTGTCCATTTTGGCTCATATTGCACCGAAAGAGTTGCAGCAAAGCATCTTCATGCACAGTGATGTGTTGAACGGATACGACAAGATAAGAGAGTACATCGAACAGTATCTGATCAACAGAAACCTGTGGAAAAGGCCTCAAGGTTCACAGTTCGGGATGCCCAAAGCCTCAAACAAAACTGCTGAGCATGATGATGGGGGAGTGAGGCCTATGGACATCGGCGGAGTAAAAGGAGACAAAGGCAAAGGGAAAGGAGAATGGAAGAAAGGAAAGGACCACTGGGGCGACAAAGGAAAGGACAACTGGAGCAACAAAGGAAAGGACAAATGGAAGGAGAAGTGGAACAACAACAGGTGGGACAACAATGGCAAAGGGAAAGGTAAGGATGGGAAGAAAGGCAAAACCGACAAGGGAAAAGGAGCAGGCAACAACAACAAAGGAGGCAAAGGAAAGCAAAACGATGGGAAAGGAAAGAACAACAATCCGCACGCTGGAAAGCAGTGCCATATATGCCACAGGCATGGTCACATTGCTGCAGACTGCTGGTGGAAGGTTGGAGCAGTCGACAACGAGGCCTACACCGAGACCGGTGGGACGGGTGCATCGACTGCCCCAGAAGACCGGAGTGGCAACGGTGCAGGGATTGGTTCTGTGTTTGAAGGTTCGCAGCGTGTTGTCAAGTGGAGTGATGAAGATGTGATATTCACTGTGAGTGAGAGTTCCGTCGCAGCTGTGACTGCAAAACAGCTAGGCAACCGGTATCTTCTCATCGACTCAGGAGCCTGTGAGAGTGTAGCAAAAGTAGGAGACTTTGAAGCACAGGTGGATGCCTCGAAAGCGAAGCCTTTGTTCAGCGTGCAAGGGACGCCGCTTAAGGTGTATGGAAAGCAGTACCCTCAGGTCATGTTCGGACAAACCAAAGGAGCAGTAGAAATGACCGTAACGGATGCTGCTGAGAGCCTAGTTTCGGTTCACAGCTTGGTAGCGAGAGGACACAAGGTGGTTTTCAGCCCAGGAGGGTGTTTCCTCGAGACCAGCGCGGGTGACACCGTACCACTTGAGCTTCATGGGAAAAGGTGGTACTTGAAAGTGATGGACGTGGGCGAAGGGAGCGCGCCTGCAGGAGGCAGGAGGGTCGCACCCATTGCCGACAAGCCGGATCTGGGTCCCCGAGAGGAAGACCGCTGGAAGAGAGAAGTGAAGGATGGGGTGGAGTATCTCATTCGAGAGCACAACAGCCCAAGAAAGCGTTTGTTTGCGCCAAAGATCAAGGATCTCCCTGTGCCCTTGGAGAGACTGGAGAGTGGAAGGCTCACCAAGATGATCTTCGAGGAGGATGGGTCCCAGAAGGAAGATCGGAGTGCGTGGGA